TGAGTTCCTAATTATTATAAATTATAACTATACAAAATTAAATTAATTTACTTAATTGTAGTTAATATAATCATATATTAATATATCAAAGTTGTAACCTAGGTTTCATGCAAAATAATTATTTATAAGAATGTAAATATCTAGTACCTATACAAGAAGTCGTTATTACCATTTGTTGGTTCTTATCGATCAAATTTGAATTTAAACAATGTAAATACATTTAGATAGTTTGTTCACACATCAAAAAAACAATAAGACATTTATTCACTTAATTATTAAATTGATTTAAAATCGTCTAAATCTTATTTGGAGTTCAGTAAATTAAATTATATGAGTCGAACTGTCTAAATTATCTCCACACCAATTATCATCCATTTTATTTATTTTAATTATACGGACTGTTTGATAATCAAAGGTCAGATATTTATCACTAGAGTAATTTGGATAACTGGCTTGACAGTGATATCAATAAAAAAATATCTTTAATTCGGTTATTAATATTTAAACATAAATTGAATCAGTCTGAGAAATCGTATTTTCTAAAAAAGATTTTAGCATATTGAAAATATAAATTTATTTTACAATTTAAACGTTTTTATTTTTTTTAGTATTAGCTAGTAATTTTAGTATATCTGGATAGCTACCTATAATCTATATTTTTGTTATCTCCGTCTCTAACATGTACGACATAGCAAATATTCGTTCACTAGTTTAAATAGAGTGCTGTTTTTTTTGATATTAGAGTGAATTGACCTATTATTAAATTTTTAGCTAAGAACATTATCTGTGCTCAAGCGTCGACTTATATTTGATATTTTAATTTTCAAGCGTGATTCGAGCATTTTTAATTTGTGATATTTCACATACCCTAATCTTGCTTGAAAATTAAAACATCGAATAAATCCAACGCCTAAGCACAGAATAATGTTAACTGTTTTTTCTCGTTAACATCATAATTATTATTATTACTAATAAAAATAAAATAAAATAAAAAATGCATAAATCTTTTATATGTGTGTGTATGATGAGGGGGGTGTATTAAAAACACTTTATAAGGGCGGAAATATGTTATATGGCCAGGAGCGCAAATGAACATTGCTACGACTCTGCGGTACTATACAAGTAAGTTTTTGCTTGTCGGAATTGATAACATAATATAATATCATCGGGACTTTGTTTTTATATCAATTTGGTATCTTAAAATATGAACTATTAGGCCTTAATGGGCACAACTCGAATAGTTTTTCTATTTATTAATAATAATTTCATGTTTCGACGGACGGCAAGTTTTACATCACAGGTTTTATAAGTGGCCCCATGACTATAATACCGTACTAACACTATCTATACGTCATAGTAGTGTCGACCTCTTTCGGATCAAGTGCCAAAATGTTGCAATCAAAGTCTTGAAAATTGTACGAGCATAGAAATGCGAGTCCGCACAAACTGCTGCGGTAACGATACAGTAAACAATATTTTATCACTGTTTTATTTTACCGTCGTAGCTTGTACAATGATCCGGTAACGATAAGGGTTACCGGACGGTGAAATATCGTACGTGAACGTTTTTTCGGTACAACTAGCACACCCTACCGCAGTAGCGAGGTACCATTAACAGGCACGCACAGGAATTTTGTAGTTAATAACCCGTCGATTTATTTTCAAAAATATTTTTGTCGACAGCCATGTACAATTTATATGAATATTTTTGCTAAAAACACAGACGTTTCTAGTATAAATGCCCCTATGATACAAGTGTTAATATTTGTATCTAGTTGTCTTATTATTAGTTTTAAAGAAACTGTACATCAAAATTACTATTATAACATTAGATATCGGTGTAAAATTCTCCGAAAATAATGTATTTTTGCTTTCTTAATTTTGATAAGGTGCTCTTTTTATTGTATTTATATCAAATAAAAGTTTTTAAAAATAATTAAATACATACTTACCTGCAATCGGTTAGTACAATATTAGGTACATATATCATACCAAAGTAGTTAAATAGTTATTTAAATATATTTTTAAAAAATGGTTTTCTTTGTCTTCACATTCAGAATACCTACAAAATATAATTAATTTAAACATAATTCAGTTCTACTGTTCTACAGTTGATAAAAGATTATGGGTCCATCAAATAAATGTAGAGCTAAACACGTACGGTCAATACCACACACTGACGCCTCGACTTAGAAAATACCTTAAACCATTCTGTTTGTTCTTTTGCATTAATAGCGAAATAGCGAATGTTTGGATTTAATTCTTCTTTTTATACACAAGGACATAGAAGAACAGTTAACTACACAATATGTGCCTCGGGCAGTGTCGGCCCGGCACCTAAATAGGGATGCATTTCTTCAGAACGGCTCCAAAAATGTTATTTCATAAAATTATAAAAAATATACTTATTAGTAGTGTAGGATATTATATTTTTTTTAAGGTACCATATTTAAAATAAACCAACAATTAAGTTTGATTAATAATTTATTAAATAAAAAAAATTTTAATATATAAAAATTATACATACGATATAAATAATACCTAATCACATTATACAACTTAATATTTTTTTTTATGAGATTCAAATTCAAAATTAACTGTGCAGTTGATTTCTTTTAAATCAGTAATTTTAGATTCTGAGCGGAGCGATAGATGTATCCAACGACCCGGCAGAGTCACGCTAAGTATAAAAAAAACGCCTTTAAATGAACGCATCGGCAATCACAACGCGTGACAACTGCCGGGTATAATTACAGGAAACATCGGAAATCACGGAAAAAAATAGTTGTCCATGCATACCTAATTTCTTGTAGAATAGTTTAGTTTGACAATGCAACAAACTTATTGGAAATGTTCCGTAGAAGAGAATGCTGCACTTTTTAATCGGATCTGAACATTATAAATGGAGTTATAGCCAAATATATTATGAATTTGTATGGTAAAAAAGAAAATGCTATTCGATAATATTCCCTGCGGCCCGCATGAAGTTCTCCGCCCACTGAGGAGATACACACACGCACTGACCGTACGCGCGTGCTTTGTCACAGCGCTTGCGGCGGCGGTGTTTTCAGTTAATACGTAACGGTTCGCGTATATATTCAATTAATGGAAAAAAATAATTAAAACCTTAAATGTTTAATATATAATAATACATATATAACATTAAAATATTTAATAATAATGATTACAACAACAACAATAATAATAATAATAATAGTAACATAAAAAAAATTACTGATATCCCAACAAAAACACTACGCCAAACTACGTGTAAAAAAACGCTCGGTACAAAAAAAAACCACCTCAAAAAGTTGTGATATCATTTTATAACTATGTATTTAAACTATATAGGAATAGATATATTATTATAATTTATGTTAAAATTCACTGCTTATAAAATGAACTTAGCTGGTGACATTATTTTAAACTCATGAGAATTCATTTCGTATTGAGTATACATGTTATCTTTGAAAATGAGTGATACTAATTAAGTGTTGAATAAATGAAATGTTATAAATTACTAATTAAGTGTTATAATTTTACAGTCACCAGCTAAGTTCAATTTATAAGCAGTGAATTTTAACATAAATTATAATAATATATCTATTCCTATACCTATAGTTTAAATACATAGTTATAAAATGATATCACAACTTTTTGAGGTGGTTTTTTTTTATACTGAGCGTTTTTTTACACGTAGTTTGGCGTAGTGTTTTTGTTGGGATTGATTTTACAATGATGTGTGTTTTTATATTTATTTATTTTTTGTGTCTGTCATCACGGTTTCTTGCTGACTGCTGTTAAAGTGCTTCGATTTTCTTAAACAGAAACTTTTCTGGTAGGAAAGGGAATCTTATTGAAGAATATGGTATTGAATCTTATTTAAAAAATTATTACTTATTATCCTTATAAATTTGTCTACCTTTATCAAAAACAAAATGTCTGCCGAAAAGTCAAATTAAATTTTTTTGAGCATTCGAAGTTGACATTTTTACAACATTGGATTATCACTCGACTTTGAGTTAGATCGCCGTGTAGCAGCGGGAGAACATAATCTAACCATCACTTTCAAAAACGGTTCTCCGTGCATAATTTCCCGTTCAAAAAACGACGTTCGACTCCAGCAACGCTCATCATAAACAACACCAACACCCACATCACTTTCAGCCTCAATGGATACTACCAGAATTGTCGCGGCCGTCGTACCAAACTTGTTAATTTCAATTGTAATACCTCGTGTTTTAATTATGCGTTTATTGCTCTTACGGAAACTTGGCTCACTAATATTTTTCACTCTTCTGAGCTTGGTCTCAGCAACTACAATATTTTTAAATGTGATAGGTCTCCACAAACCAGTTCCTATAATCGTGGTGGCGGTGTGTTAGTGGATATACGTAAGGACTTATCTTCTTCCCCCCTTTTTATACCTAATAATAGTGTTGAACAATTATTTGTTCCCTTCTCTCATAACTCCTTAAATATTATTGTTTGCAGTGTTTACATACCACCTTCATCGCCTGTTGAGCTTTATAGTACCTACGCATCTAAATACTATTGATTTTATTGTTCAAAAATACCCTAACAACAGTCTAATACTAACTGGCGATTACAATCTACCATTTATTTCATGGTCTTATGATACGCATGGCCTGTGTTTCCTAACTCAGTCCATCTCTGAATACACTTCCATTCCTGAAAGACTTGCCATCCATGGATTCTACCAACATAACTGCATATTAAACTCTCACCATTCTCTTCTCAACCTCATATTCTCTAATCTTAGCTCCTTAACTGTAAATCATGCTCTTGACGCAGCGGTGTCTGCAGACCCTTACCATCCACCTCTCTCTCTTTCTATTAATCTCCCCGTACATTTTCCCCAATCTGTTCCCATAAAATCATTTTATAACTTCAACAAAGCAGATTACATACAGATCATTCAATTTTTTAACTCTTTCAATTGAAAACGTACCTTTCAGTCATCCTCCCCTGATGATTCCATGTCTATCTTCCTTGATGCTCTCCACTATTCAATTTTATCTTTTGTTCCTACAATCTCTTTAAAACCTTCCACTTTTCCGGCATGGTACACTAAAGAGCTCAAAGAACTAGTGTTTGCCAAATCTCGCGCTCATGCTAAATATAAGTCATCTCAGCTACTATCGGATTACAAGCTTTTTTCACTTCTTCGCACCAAATTTAAATTCATCTCCAAGCAATGCTACCGTAACTTCGCCTCTCGTACTGAGTCTTCCCTATTACGCAACCCTCGATATTTTTGGAGTTTCATTAGAAAAAACCGCTCTATTCCTTCTATACCTTCAAGTGTCACACTCCATGGTAAACAAAGTACATCTCATTCTGATACAGCTAACCTGTTTACTACACATTTCTCTTCTGTGTTCGCCCAGCCATCTCCAATTTCATCCCAGACACTTCGTTCAATAAGCCATTTTTCACTCCCGTCTAATGCCCATTTTTTGATTAGTGACGTCTACCAATGCTTATGTTCCCTCCGCAATATAAAGTCTATTGGTCCGGATGGTATCCAGGGAGATTTTTAATATTAACTACGGTCTGTTCTATCAGAACCATTATGGTTATTGTTTAGGCGTTCTATTGATTCAGGTATCTTCCTGTCTGCCCTCAAACTCGGCTCAATTAGACCAATATTGAAGTCCGGTGATCCTACAGATGTTACAAACTATCGTCCAATAACTATCCTACCTCATTTATCCAAATTATTTGAAACACTTGTACTTAACTCGATTCGCCCTTCCTTGAATCATATTCTAATTGATGAGCAGCATGGTTTCCGTCCCGGTAGATCAACTGTTACCTGTAATCTTAGTCTTCATTCGTATATATTTGATTCTTTTCGCAATAAATGCCAAGTAGATGTAATCTACATAGATTTTTCCAAGGCCTTCGACCGTGTTGATCATAATCGTCTTATGTCAACACTTGCCTCTATAGGCATCGGTGAACCTTTACTATCCTAGTTTCACTCTTATATTACAAATAGGATCCAATAGGTAACTGTTGATTCATCCTCTTCGAATCACTTTACACCCACCTCAGATGTTCCTCAAGGTGCTGTTCTTTCTCCTCTTCTGTTTGCTCTATTCATTAATTCTGCCTCCTCCGTCCTCCAGCATGCCAAACTTCTTATCTTTGCTGATGATATGAAAATCTTTTTCCGAATCAAATCCATCTCTGACTGTCTTCTTCTACAAAACGACCTTCAGCGATTAGTGACATGGGGTAAATCTTTGGGACTAGCTCTTAATATTCCTAAATGCTCAGTAATGGCCTTTTATCATATTAATACTTTAATCAAATATACCTATTCAGTCAATAATACCCCCTTGACATTTTGCAAAGATTCAGTAAAGGACTTAGGATTTACTCTAACACAGAATCTGTGCCCTAATATGCATATCCAGACAATCTGTTGTAAGGCTCTCAAACTACCAGGTTTCATAAGTCGTGTCTTTGCTGACTTTCACTTACTCTCTCCACTAAAAGCGCTTTTCTGTTCCTTAGTCTGTCCCATCCTTGAGTATGGATCTATCCTCTGGGACCCATCCACCGCTTCTGCTAGTAACATGATTGAAAGGGTTCAAAAAAAATTCCTCCGTCACGCTGCTTATAAATTAAACATATTCAGTCCACCTCACGATTACTCGCCAATCCAATGCCTTTTTTCCTTAGAAAGTCTCGCTGATCGCCGTCTCTCGGCAAACATATCATTTCTATCTAATCTACTCTCCTCTAAAATTGACAGTTTATAATCACTATCTCGTATTTCCTTTAAAGTCCCCTCCCGTCGTACTCGTTCATCTGTTCCATTCCATATACCATTCTCTTCCTCAAACTACTATTTTAACTCACCGATTATCCGTCTTATGTGTATTGCCAATACTGACCCTTCATTCACTCTCTAAATCTGAGCCTCGTTTCCACAAAGCTAATTACTATTACTTCCCTAACAACACATGACGTCCACGGGAACTTCCCATTTGCTTCCTGACTGGAAACAGCCCAGGTGGATTCCCTATGTACGTCCATTCAATATCCCTCAAAATGTATAGTTATATTTTGTAATAATAATTTATTATTACACGATTTTATTTATTTTTCCAGACTGGAAAATATATTTTATATATATATATAATCCTAATCACTTTTAGATGGAACTACATTGGACGTCCACAGACCGTTCGAAGTATAATGACATTTTACATCTAAATATAATAATAGTATTATTGTACTGCTGCAGCCGCCGGCTGCTGTTATACATTTTGCGTTTATACTGTTATCAATGAATTATATATAATAATATTATAATAAAATTTATATATTATTAGTACCCCGAATTCGACCGTGGCTCGTACGTCGTCTGACAGTGTCGTAATTTCGAATAGTTTTCTATAAATACAATAAACACGGTTACCCCGCGATCCGTGGTTAGTCGTCAGTGGAAGACGTGTTATTCATATTACGATGATAACATTTCCCTCACTTCACACGCTACCACAACAATGTTATTGCCAAGACACCAAGTTTATATTTATTAGCCGGTGCATCGTGGTCGCCAGAGCACAACAAAATTATTATAAACAATATAAACTAAGCAAGACTCTGTAATAATAGGACAGTAAACTAGTGAAGTATTACAGTGAAGTATTAAAATGGACAATTTAAGGTAGGATAATATCGGTATTTTATAGGCCTATGAGTTAAAAAATATTATAGGCATTAGGCATGAATTATTATTAATGTAGGTACTACCTATAGGTAGTTCTTCTTCAGCTAATATATAATTATATAGGCTTTTAGGTTCTTTGCCTGAACATACTGCCTCCGTTCTTGGAAAACTTTGTTTTGTGGTTTCTTCTGCATTCCTTACTCCCATGGGAGGTTAGTTACTGCAATATCCTTAGATCTTCCTTTACTCTATCTGTGAATCTTTGTCTAGGTCACCCTCTGGGACCTGGGTATATCTTTGTGTCAAGTTTCCATGATGTTATTTGTCCAATTATTATTGGTTACTATAGTCCATAATGATCACACTACATTCCAAGCCCAACTTATATTCTCGATTATACTTTTCAAAGTTCCAGCAGTGTTAATTTCTTTATAATATAATAGTTATTTGAAATTTGCATTGTTTTGTCGTTTATAATTCTGCCTTGTTATTTCTTTTTGGGCAAACATTTTTCTCAATATCTTCTTTACAAACAATATAGTAATTGAAAATAGTAATAAATTAAATAATTGTAATTATCTACCTATTTATTAAAAGGTTTTGAGATTGGTCTAGGTGTAAAATTTATATAGTAATTATAATTTGATCAACTTTCAGAATAACCCTTTGTATATATTTCACGTCGTGTGTTTTATTAAGTTTCCACATATTTTGGACTTATAAGGACATGATTCAACCTTAGGGATGGTTATCTAGGCATTGCTAATTACCATAGTACATTTTTATTTTAACTTACAAGTTATTTCTGGCTATAGTTTTTGGTATTAAATAATATATTGAGTTACAGCGTATCCTAACCTTTTTGATTTGGTGACCCACTATTTAATTACCTATAGGTATAGATGCCAATTAAAATTTTCATTAAATAAATGTTTGTATTTGCGAAGAATTAATGTATATATTATAGTTCATCCTACATTTTAGCATAATTATTATGGTGATAATTTTTAATTAAGTATTTAAAGAGTTATATTTAGGTACATTTGTTCTATTAATATTACAATATCATCACTGAAAAAAATTATGACATGGTCTTTATCGAGGTCTTTATAGTGAAATATTATAAATACTTTGAGGCACAATATGATATTTCCATATTCTATTTTAATAATTTATAAACTTATAAATGACAACATAATTATATTATATTTTGTTAGTATGTATAAACCCTGTATTTTGGATAAGTATATTATATAACATTTTTAATAAAATAAATGAATAATTAAACAAGAAAATTATATACCTATTAAGTACTTACAGATAGCTTGTACATAAAATAAAAATACAACTTTGCATATTCATCTTATTTAATTTATGGATTGTATTTTATATTATTTTTAAAAGTATTTTATATTTTATAAATTATAACTAATTGTTAAAATAATTTTGAAGTTTTCAACTACTATCTCAACCATTTCTATATTTCAAAACCAACAACATAATAATGTGATAATATGAATCAGGTTAGATCATTATTTTTATTGTATCAGTTAGGTATACTTGAAGTATATTATAAAAATTTAATGTATACAATAATTTTACTAAAGTTTGGCTATATTACATTATACCCATGGTTTTTTTTATGTTGATTTAGGTACAATGATTTTTTTTTTAAATTATAGGAATAATTCTTACCGTAAACCTTTGAATAGACTATCTACAAGGCAATTAAGAAGACGAATAGTTCATATCCAACAAAATATTGTAAATGATTGCAATGCTTGCAACAGTTGTGAAACTGAAAAAAATATTAGTGAAACGAAAGTGCAGCAAAAGGGTAAAAGAGTAGTCACATACCAAAATACAACTACTAAAATATGTATAAATGACGAAGGAGATCAAGAATTATCACTTGTTAATAATGCTTCCGGTGTAGATAGTACTGTTAATCTTGGTAATTTAGAATTCCAGATGGCTAATATGAGTAATAATAAGTGTAATGATAATATAGAAGTACAAAGCAAAAATTTAAAGGATGAATTGTCTGAGTGGGCTGTTCAAAACAATATAAGATTGAACGCATTATCTCGCCTTCTAAAAATAGTTGAGCCACATGTGTCAGAAACATTACCACTCGATGCTAGAACATTACTTAAAACGCCCAGACAAACTATAATAAGAGAAGTTTTACCTGGTGAATATTATCATTTTGGGATGTATAAAGGTATCATGCAATTTTTGAAATCGCACAGCAAATTTGCATCGCTCAAAAGTGATGTAGAAATAATGGTTAACATTGATGGTTTACCAATATCAGCCTCATCCAATAGTCAGCTATGGCCAATATTATGTTCTGTTTTTCAATAAAACCATGTTTTTATGGTTGGTTTATATCATGGGAAGGACAAAAACCCTAAAAGCTCTAATGACTTTTTATCAGATTTCATTAATGAAATTCGTGATATGACTATAAATGGAATATTTTATGATGGAAAAACATATGGTTTCAAGATTAAAGGCTTCTCGGTAGATTGTCCAGCAAAAAGCTTTATGCTTTGTGTAAAGGGTCATGGAGGTTATTCCAGCTGCACAAAATGTATGACTGAAGGGGAATATGTTGAAAATCGTATTTGTTTCCCTGATAGTAATGCAAGACTTAGAACTGATGAGCAATTTGCAAATCAAGAGGATGAAGAATATCATATAAGTGAAACTTCCCTACTTGAAATACCAAATTTAGGACTGGTAACTTGGGTACCATTTGACTACCAACATTTAATTTGCTTAGGAGTCACCAAAAAACTATTAAACTTATGGCTAACCGATAGTCTTCAAGTGAGGCTGTCTTTCAAAAAACATGAAGCTATTTCTACAGATATAAAAAAATATATCTTACCTTATGTACCGTTAGAGTTCCAGAGAAAACCACGTTCATTAAATATGTTTAGGCAGTGGAAATCAACCGAGCTAAGGATGTTTTTGTTATATTTTGGTGCTGTTATACTGAAAAATCATTTAAAAAATGATATACTTCAAATATTTTTATGTTTACATGTTGCCATTCGATTTCTGTGTGCAAGCAAATATTGTAATATATCTGAGTATTTGGAATATTGCAATAGTTTATTGCGCCATTTTGTAGAAACGTTCAAAGATATTTATGGGATTCACCATGTTTCCCATAATATACATGCTCTTGTTCATTTGACAAAAGATATAGAAAAGTATAGTTCATTAGATAACTTTTCTACATTTAAGTTCGAAAATTATATGCAACAAATTAAAAAAATGATTAGAAAAGATGACAGGCCTTTGCAGCAAATTGTTCGAAGAGTAAATGAAAAGAATTCTTGTTTTGTTAATATGAATTGTGATTGTGATTCAACTATAGATTATACATACGGAAGACAACATTATGAGGGACCTTTGCTCTTGAGTTCTAAGAATCCACAGTATTCAAGTATAAAGTGCAAAGCTTTCACCCTAATTCGTAATGATCATAAAAACTACTGCTGTACTTTATACAAGGGTGACATTATAATAATAAATAATATTGCTCATCAAAAAGAAAATAACCGTAAAGTCTTAATTGGAAGAAAATTTTTAATGTTAAATAATATGTTTGAAATACCATGTAAATCTTCTTTATTAGATATTTACATAGTAGAAAAACTTTCTGACAACTGTTTTGGCCAATAGAAGAAATTCAACATAAAAATTGTCTTTTTGCAATACCCGGAAAAAGTGGTTCTTTTGCATCAATTCCTCTAATACATTCAGACATATAAATATGCAATATAATAAATTGCAATAATGTATATTAACTGTAAATATAAAAAAATTTAAAAAAAACAAAAAAAAAAACTGTAAATATGTACCGGTACATACCGGCCTATACACAACATAGGTACACACTTCTAAAAATATTGTATTTTTAAATTAGTAAATTTGTCATTATTTTTCAGTATATTAATGATATATTATGTTGTTTTCAGGAATTTTATAATTGTAGGATTTGACGATGGACTTCAAATTGTTTGTAAAAATTGGAAAAAAAATAATGATTTTTTTTACCCTGATGGTATAACTAATAAAAACAAGTACTATAAATTAGTTTCAAAAATGGTTTCGCCAGGCTACCAAGCAGAGAAATGTAAATGGTCACTACACTCTATCTTAAAAATCTATGGTTCTGATGGTTAGTGTCTATTGTACTTCTTTTAGCCTGCTATTAAGCATATTAATTAATATTAATGATCTTATGTTTTTCCCAAATTGCATTAAAAGCTTTTTATGAAATTTTAATAATTGCTTTAATGTAACTTCAACTAAATTTCAACTTAATTTTATATAAACTTTAATTATTTATCCATATTAAAGATATGTACATTTTAGTGTATATAATAAATTAATAACATAATACTTAAACGCCAATAACCCTGGCAGTTGAGGCGTATTTCTAAATAAAAAAAAAAAAAATAACATAATAATTGTTAATTAACACTTGTCTTTTGTTATGAATGATTTTGCAGATGTATTTGAAATGGCTGTAAAAAAATTAAAAATTGCAGAAAACTACAGTGATGTAAATACGGATACTGATGTCAATAATGCAAAAAGTCAACTGCAAAAGTCATTAGGGCAAAAAAAAGTATGATTCTGACTCAAGCACTGAATCTTGGTCACAACTAAACCATCCAGTAAAAGTGTCATCTTCAAAGGGATTGAAGTATCCAAATCCTCCTTAACCTATTGGTATGAATAATATTATAAATTGTATTTATCAATTAGTAATGATATTACTAATAGCTACACTTAAATATATTGTTGTATTTGCATTAGTTAAACATTTTAATTTATACAACTATGATAACCTCTTAAATTCTTATGTTTCAGCATCATCAAGTACATTTAAAAAGAATACTCCTGACCAGAAAATGAAATGTAATAGCTTTTTTTATTAAATTTAATATAGAAAGTGTTTAATTATAATTTTAGTATTGGACTTGCATGTTTTTAATACCAACATTGCCTAACATTCTCACTTGTTTTATTTTATTTTATTTAAATACATTATAGTAGCACGTTCAACATCTAGTAGTTCAAAAATGTATAATCCATGCGATAGTTTTGACATAACTCCAACATTTGACAATCCTGCTACATCGACTCAACGCATGAAGATTAAATGTAAATAATTGCAATTTTAATTTTACTTATCAAATATAATAATATTATGTATGTCAAATAATTAATATTGCACAATATAATATTATAAAAAACATTTTGTTTTAGCACCAAATATGTTTGGCGACTTGAATCTCAGTAGTATTTCTAATTCAAGTGAACTCAACAAAAGTAATTTTTTTATTAGAATTTTTTCTACTTTCTAGTATATTAGTTGTATAATATTACAATATTTTATGTATCTAAGTTCCAGATTTAACCAATGAACATTTAGATGATAGCTTACTTTCCAATTCAAGCATGGAATTAACTAAAATTAATTCACTATTTCCAACACAATCCATACAAAAGATTTCTAATCAGCATACCACTATAAAAAGTAATTTTTTATAGCTATTTTGATTTATTTGTTTTTGATATTATTTTGATATAATACTCTATAATATTACGTAGTATTAGAATTTGTGCAAGTATGCATTGACAATTTGACCTACAGTTTTAGTAATTCTTGTAATCCTTCTCCCTATAGATCTTTAGAAAAAAAAACAGAATTATGATATCTTCATTATTTTAGAGTTATCATAATGGTTAAATCCTCACAGGACGCTGTATTTAATTATTTTAACAGACTGTTATTATAATGTATTTTATAAACAATTTTTGTAGGTTCAGATGTAATGAACAGTGAAGCAAATGATGATTTTATAAGATATCTTGAATTTGATGATGTAATAAAGAACAATTAAACATTTTCATCGAAAAACAAAAGTCAAGAATTGATTCAAGGTAGCAGTCAATGTAAACGTATGTTTCATATAAATTATAACAATAATAACACTTTAGCATGCCCAACCATTGATTAAATATTATAAATAATTTTTTTTAATGTATCTTTATTAAATTCAACTGCATTGGCCATTTTTCTTTTTAAACTTTAGAATATAAACTAGCTTAAATTTTATTTTTGTAGATTATTGGATTTGAGTTATTATTTTTTTTAAATTTAGTTGGTTCTAGATTTATAAGAAAAATGTTATTCCAAGAGGAAAATTTTGTAAGGTTCTATTTTTACTAAGGTCCTCAATATCCAACACTTGTATTATTATTATATTATAATGTATTATTTTTATTAATGCACTTTTTTAACATCATGATTTCAGATGATTTATCTGTTCTCGAAGATTTAGCTGAAGTGAAGGTAAATGTTCAAAAACTGTTGTTGAATCAAAAAACCATTCTAAACAAGTTGGAAAAATTACTAACAAATGATCGTTCAGTTGATAACTGCCTGCAGAATATTACATCAACACAAATTGATGAATTTGAAATACACTTCAATGACAATTTTCCTTTAAAAGAATTAACACAATTTAATCATATTAATGACATTTTAAACAATAAGGCATACTACAATCTTATGGTAAATATTATTTTGTATGCATATAGTGTTCATGCACAATAATAATAATATGTTTATCAATTTATTACTTATAAGATTTAATACATTTTCAGAAAAAGAAACTATCAATGTATGGTGGATCGAGCATTAATGATGTTACACGTCATATTCTTATAAAACTTTTGAGCAATGAAATATCAAGATTTATTACACTTACTGGCCCTAAAGGAAAAAAAACATGTTTTGCCAGTACAAACTATTTTAAAGTATTACTAGGTGTGTGTATTAATTTATCAAAAATAAATTATACTAACTCTATTACATTATATACATTCAACAAAAAATATGTTCTGTTTGATCAAATAGCTGCAACTGATACTAATTTCTCAGATTTCTTCGATCTCATTACTTGAGTATTACATTCCCATAGACCTTGATAGTAGCCGCTGTCAGCCGAACCTAAATTTTTACTTTTGCTCATTACAACCGTGTTTGATATCCAAACTTATTTTGTAGAATATTAATATTCTATACAATTGCACATGAAGGAAATTGAAATTGCAAGTGCATATTATGTAGTTATGTGTGAATTACTTTCATCAATCTTTTTTATTTTGTTTACATACAGATGTTGTCAGAGTCTTTTATGAATCAGCCACTGAGAATCATGTCAAACCTGCGATTCAAAGTTGGTTTAAACATGCACCTGACCGTTTAACTACTACACAGCACAAAAACAATGTATCCCCAAACATGTAGCAACATCAATGCATTGATTAAAATACATAATTCAACTATAGTTACCAGCTGGTATAATAAGAATTTATTATATTTTAAACAGTTAATGGTTAAATTACTTTTTCATTTATTTTTTTATTTTTATTTATTGTTATAAGAAATTAACTGTTGTAAACTTAGTATACATCTAATAGATATCTATTTAATGTGTATTATTAAATATTATATAAAATGTAATAATGTGAAGATTTCATAAAAAAGAAATAGTTATGAGTTCAAATTATGCACCTATAGTATACTAATTAAACTGTATATAAATAGTTATGTAATAAATAATATGTAACCTAATTATATAATTTTGTAATCATTTTAAGTCCAGAAATTGGAGAATTTTGAAAACTATTTAGCACAGATAATAGTTAAGTACCTAATTAAAAGATTTGAATTGATCAATCAATTAAAAAATTATAATTCATTCTGGTATTTTAGACTGCACAGCTAATTGTTATTTTAGTAGCAGTTGTCTATTAATATATTATTACTTATGTATTATATACTTCTATAGAATTATAATATAATACTTAAGTATTAAGTATATATAAATTATACTTGAATACAGGCTGGAATATATTGTGTGCTTACCTAGTTTAAAAATTGATTTTTGTTCAAGTAGGTACCTATATAGGTACTAATTAAAATTAGTTATTATAAATAATTAAACTATCTATAGTTAAATTATAACAATGGACATTTTTGGACCTATTCTTGAAGCTATCTGGCACAATAATGGTGTAGTTCCTATTTAAGTCATTTCAGGAAGTCCTTGGGAGGCAGACATTCGTAATTACAATAATAAGCCTGTGGACTTCCTTTTTAAAGCCTATGACTCAGAATGGCTCAGCCTAAGCAGTTCCCTTAGTTCCTGAAGGAATATCCTAAATACGTCCAAAGAACTTCCTTGTGTTGTTAGGGTTATTATTATATTCATGTATTTAAAAGGTTCGTCCCGTAATGTAATGTAAAATAAATAAATGAATAAATAAATAACTAAATCAACAGCCCATAAATCATCAATACCTTTAGTAAAAATTCTTCTTTTAGGAAATCTTATTCTAACAGGTTTATGAAGTTCTTTAGCTAATACCATTGTATCTGTATCATTTAATTTTCTATATGAAATTATTGATTTATTGGGAATATTCTGTTTAATTACAGGATATTTTATAAATTTACTTTTATTTGTTTGACAAATGAAACATTTTGATGAAATTCTCCATCTACCATTAACTGTTTGAATTTTAGTTGCATTTATATTTTTTGTTTGAATTTTACATTTATGACAATATATAGTTTGTAATAATTCATTGCTCATTTCTTATTTATTTTAAATAAAAAAAATTTTCAAACAAATTATTGAAAAAAAAAAAAATTATATTTACTAATATACATAAGAAATGGAAACAAAAATTTTAAAGATGGTTTCAATAAAATCAACAATGGACATACATTTATAAAATTAATGATTTGGAACAAGGAAAATCATACAAAGTAAATAGTTTCATAAAGATTGATACAAAGTTTGGAAAAAGATTAGCTGTTGTGTTAAACGATGAATTAAATTAAATGATAAAATAAATTTACTTTTATGAATGGTATTTATAAAAGTTAAAAATGGTTGTATTCTTTTAAACAAACCTATTCACAATAATGATGATCTTTTTTTAGGTCTCTATTAGACTGTTGTATAAAAATTAAACAGAATATAATATAAATAAAAAAAGGTAGATATAGTATTGAACAATTTAACAAAGAAATAGAACCTCTTATTTTAACATTTTATAATGAAACTAATAGAATTACAATTAAATCTCCTTGTTATTATAATTTAGATGAAAAATTAAAAGAATATTTAGGTTTTAAAAACAGTGAATTTAATTTATCAATAGTTAGTAGTGATCCAATGATGGTTTTATAAATATTTCAGCCTCAATCGGCATATGTTTTGATGAATATTTATCAAAATGTTTAGGTATTGATAATACTGGAGATTTTATAACACAAGCAATCCCAAAAAATAAAAAATTGCCTAATTCATACGGACTATAACCAGATATTTTTTATAAAATAAAAGCTATAAGCAAACCAATGATTTATACACAAGGTTTTATAAAAAATATTAAAGGTATTATTTCTAATGAAAATAGTAAAACCGAATTAAAAGGAAATTATTCAATTAAGCAATTAAATAGCTTATTCCCTTCGAATATAAAGTTGGAAAATAAAGATAATTATATTTAAATAATAACAAAAGATTATTATTCATTTGATCCAAATTTAAGTTTAAGTTTAAGAGGGTTTGATAAAGATATAATATATACACATTTTGGAGAAAATTCATCATTAAATAATAACAACAATATATTAGAAGTAAATTGTAATATAATTGAAGAATTTATTACACATGATATTAATGAGTATACTCATTATGGTGAAGATGGTTTATTTTTATTTCAATATAATTCTAATATAATTTTAAAACAACCTTCTAAAATTATATATAGAGCAATAAGTAAAAATCGGTTTCAAAATATAAAAATTAATATTTTCGACTTGAGAGGTAGGTAATATTGTTAATTTTGATGAAGAATTTATTGTTGTTCTTGATATAATAAAAAAAATATATATAAAAAAATTACCCTTCAGATTTGAAAAGTAGCTTTTGATTACTTGTTAAATTTTCATGATATTTTATCATGAAAATTAAAGTGGAGAAAGATTTTTTAATATATTTAAATCAATTCATCAACTATTCCTCTTTCAATATCAAAGGCATACACTGAACTAGAAATCAAACAAATGTAATAAA